TGAATTCCAGGGTGGAAACATCAGTTTAATTGTTTTAGTGACCAGAAAACAAATTTTGATATGCGTCGGCTTACCCAAAATGAAAGGTTACGTGTCCTTGGCATGCTACAGATCGGCACAACACAGGCGGTTGTGGCGCGGACGATGAATGTTTCTCAGTCTGTCATAAGCAGGCTATGGTCCAGATACCGTGATACACAATCTGTACAGGACAGACCACGCTCAGGTCGACCAAGGGCGACAACTCAAGCCCAGGATCGATTTATCCGTACCTTGGCCTTGAGAAATCGTGTCATCACAGCAAATCAGATCAGCGCTCGTCTTCAAACAGACACTGATGTGAGAGTGAGTGGCCAGACGATTCGGAATCGACTGCATAGGGGTCACCTTCGCGCCCGACGTCCTCGCGTGATCCCTTGTTTGAGAGATCATCACATTCAGGCAAGACGTCGTTGGTGTAGGGATCGTCAACACTGGGATAATCGACGCTTGAGTAATGTGATGTTTTCAGATGAGTCAAGGTTCACTGTTGATTTTTTGGACAGACGTAGGAGGGTGTGGCGTCGTCGAAACGAGCGCTTCCAAGCAATAACGTCATCAGACATGATCGATTTGGGGGTGGTTCTGTTATGGTGTGGGGAGGCATCACTGTTGCTGGAAGAACGGCTTTACATGTTGTTGCAGGGCGTGTTACAGGCCAGTACTACCGGGACAACATCTTGGCAGTCCATGTTGTGCCGTTGTGTCACAGGGCCAGGATCGTTACAGGTTACCTCCAACAACAGAACATCACCACATTACCTTGGCCAGCACTGAGTCCCGACCTCTCCCCCATCGAGCATGTCTGGGACATGCTTGGACAGAGGTTACGTCAACGTCAACAACGTCCTGCCAATGTCCAAGAACTTGCTGCTGCGTTGCAACAGGAATGGGACAATCTGGACCAAAATGACCTTAGACGTCTCATTAGGAGTATGCCACGTCGGATCAATGCTTGTTTGGCAAACAGAGGAGGATTTACCCGTTACTGACTTGGTTGTGATGCTGTGGTAACTTTGCTGTTTGACCCCGGGTATCATTTTACCCTTATAATGGTCAGTCTGTGCCTTACTTAGTCTAACGATCATTTGGAATAAATCGATGAATGTGAACTTCATTTCATTTTGTCATTTGTTTCTTCGTCAGTTTCATTAGGTGACTTTAATAACACTTAAAAATCAAATATCCCCTACTTTTTTTGAATAGTATATTTCAATAATTTGCTTGCACGTAGGGGTTTTTAGCAGTGGGAGAAAACCGGAGGACCCAGAGAAACCCACGAGGTTGGACAGGCGACCCTACTCCTTGTCACGTACAACCAGGGAATCAAAACCTGTCAACTTTAGATCACAAGGTCTGTCATCAAGTCAAGTGGCGTGGTTTCAATCCCAAGGAGTAGGGTCACCTGTCCAACCTGAAGAGTTTTCAACAGGTCCTCCGGTTTCCTCCCACTGTTAAAGACCCTTATGCACAAGCGAATTATTGAAATAAAATTGAACCATATGTTAGTCCCAAAATGACCTAGTTTGTGTCAAGTGGATGTTAAATCCCATTTCTTTCTATCCTCCTTTAGACTGGACACAGAGAAGAGCAAGTGTTTTATCAGCAGCACTTCCCAACTTTAGAAATGGGCAATAATTAACACAGATGGGGGCTTGTAAAGTTGTCTATGCTAGCTCTAGAATCATTGTCAACAAATCCCACAATGAACTCTGTACCAAGCTTTAACTGTCAATATGTCAATTTATGATCTGAAAATTGATAAGTACTTCCAGACTTATACTCTACGTTTCATCACTCTCACTCATTTAAAATCAAAGTTATGATGTCCCAAAGCATCAAGCAATCAAATCACTATCAGGGGACAACTTGTTCCTCCCATCTCCATTTCCCTCATTAATTATTTAACAACATATTCCTCACAATCCACATTTACAAACACTACGTCTAACCCTATTTCAAATCTCTACTCAGAAGAAACAAGTTTATCCCAATCCCTTCGCAGGAACCAAGTATTGCCCACGATCCCTATTCAACAAATAACATCAATTAATATGATAATGTAATCTGTTAGAATTCTTGTTTCCTGATCTATCCAATTGTAGAATTGTCCACACTTACATTACATCTTCCAGATAATTTTGACCAAACTTCACAATTCCATGTGACAGCATCCCAGACTCTACAAAATATTTTAACAGATAAGGCAAGCTTAACTGACAGTTTATATAAATATTGTAACAGAAAGGGCCTGATCAACTGACAGTATATATAAATATTGTAATAGAGAAGGCCAGATTAACTGACTGTTTATATTAATATCATGTATTTGGATTGGTTAAGTGCTACTCATCTTTATGTTCTTGGGTGTGACGTTATTCGAAAAAGCCAAAGGCTTTGTCAATTAAGTTAGATCGACATGAAATTTGGCATGCATGTTCTTTGGACAATTACGCATCCATCTACAGACTTTGATTTTCCATATGATGTCAAAATAACAAGATGGCTGCGATGATGTGAGAGTTAGTACCTGGTTGCTAATAGAGTGGTACTTGTTTTATTCTGGTTTCACTGCTTTACTCCCCCAGGTACCACACAATTACAACACCGATTTCCACAATACAGGTAAATATTGATTACCACATTTAGTACTGTGTAACCCCCCTGTCAAATCCTCCAAGACCCCCCCCCCCCCCACACACACCACAATTACTACTGTTAGGCTGCCCCACCATAAATAAATATCTCCAAATATCTCGACAATTACACCACAATACTTATATATATACTAAGCTTTAAATCAGTATCGCACAATTAGGGTCACTAAATAAACGGTCATGTTGTACTTAATAAGATATGACCATTTAACCATCTATAAATAATACACTGAAAAATGGTTCGGAGTGTCGTCCATGACATCCAGACACTTTTGAGCAATAAATAGGTTACATGCCCTTGTTTTGAAATTAGTCTCACTTAACCAGTCTACCGACCAAGACTACTTTTTTACGAAACATGACAGAAAGCTAGAACAAGAAATTGAATTTACAAATAACGCCCGGTGGGCGACACAACAATTGTTTTAAGAACCTTGTAAAAGTAAAATGAAACTACTGCTAGTATCATTTTCCTGCCCAACCCGCATTATTCAGAGATATTATTTGTACTAAACCAAAAGATGCCACTCCTAGCGGTCTAGTTAATGATAAAGCAATTTAAAAAATAAAACGAGCGTAATTTCTAAGGCCGTGTTGAATTGATTCCTTGTTTCTCCTGCCACCACTCTGGCAATCATGTGCGGTAGTGCGGTAAACACAACACAAAGTGGGTTTCAAAACACAAAGTGGTCTGGCATAATACCTATATAGTCTGAGGGTTGTGTACCATTTTTAATAATATTATAAATAATCTAGTTATATTATTGGTTAGAATAAAAACAAAGATAATATTTATTTAATTAAATAAACTTAATAACAAACTAAAATTTGGTAACAAGTGGCTTCTTTTTTTAACTTTTTAAAAAATGAAATAACCATATTTTGATATAAATTTTCCGTATTCTTGTGTTACAATACAATGGAAACATTCCAGTTAGACGAAATTTGATTTGCTTGTTGAGTTATAGATGGTTTCGACAATATCATCGAACGTGAAAGTGCTGGGAATACACACCAAAGTCGAGTCGAGATAAGTAAATTTGCGTACCGGTCAGCCTAATTTATTGATGTTCAAGGAAATAATAGTGGTCCCGTTCCTTCGTTAATTTATTGATGTTCAAGGAAATAATAGTGGTCCCGTTCGTTAAACTCCAGAAACGAACGAACGGGACCACTCTTATTTCCTTGAACATCAATAAATTAGGCCGACCGGTCGCGAATTTACCTATGGCCCGGCATAGCTCACCATTTTGTAAGGCGTGCGTTATTTATTACACAAGATATGATTGGGTAATACTTGAATAATAATGACGTGTTATAATTTTAGCCAATGAAAAAATTGATTATTCAGGTTCCCGGTTGAATATTAGCGACTGTCTTATAGTTTATAATATGCTTTCTCATTAGCCGAAATGACTGCTACACGCGCCATTTTGCGGAATTCATCCAATCATATACAGTGTAACTTATTCCATAGTATGCGGGCCCCTACATGTGTATTATCAACCGGATCCATTCACTTGATTTGATATTTGTTTATTCGGTGCAATGCCTATTTTCTGTCTTGTCCGCAGGTTTATCTTGTAGATTTTTGTTTTGCGTGTAGTGCGCCCCCCCTGCACTTACTTATTTAGTTCGCAACGAGGAATAAACAACGAGAATTAACTTCTGATGTTTGGTAGAATTTTTTTTAGATGTTATTAACGTAATTTTTTTAATATTTTTTTGGGTGTTAAAAACGTAAGCGCACGATTTTCGGGGTCCTCGACCTAAGCGCGCGGGCGAGGAGAAACAAGGAATCAATTCAACACGGCCTAAAGCTGCAGTAATAACCAAAAAGCTAAATATTACTGCTATTTAGAATCATCAACAATAGATTTTTTACGTCTGTAATAGTTATTACAAGTGTTAAGAATTTCACGTGCTGTGGCTTTTTATAGACACAAAGACAGCCCGAGACTCGTCTGAAATCAATTAGAGTTACGTCACTGAAGCGTGCACATTCAACGTGTCAAGTACAACTTTTAGTAGGGAAAAGTTTCGGCCACGGGGCACCTTACTACTGTCTAACAACCATGTCAAATCCTCCCCATCCTCCAAGTCCACCCCCCAACACCAAAATTACTACTGTATAATAACCATGTCAAATCTTCCAAACTCACATTTACTAGTGAATCTCTAACAACCATGTCAATCGTACTTTGATTCAATGTAAATGTACAGTTAGTATTCCTGAACAATTCATATTTGCATCTGGACATTTGGCTTACACTGTCTGAGAAGGATGACCTCCTATAAACTTACCTAAACATAGACATTGGTGTAGCGGCTAGAACTTTACTGCCTTCTGGTGAGAATTTCAAAAAGGAAACACCTCCTCCACCAGCCCTTCTTAATGTTACACCAGTCTCCATAGCAACTTTCCATGCCTGTTTATTGATAAAATAACGGAACAGTTATAACAATTGTAAACTCAATCTGATTAAAATATACATCTATATTTAGATTCCGTTTTTTATACTTTCAATGGCCTCTACTACATGAAGATCTGACCAGTTGTAGTTGGGGGTCACGTTAGGGGTCATACGAGCGACTTTTGACCCTATGACGTTTGATTAACCAATGAGCGTTGATGTTTCTAGTAGGATACCCATAGTTCCGTGCATCGCACACCAAGAACTCGTTACAACATACCGTTTCGTTGGATAATCAATCACATTAACAACTCTTCCAGATCCTTGTGTATAGTAAAGAAAAGTAAAACGTAATTTTGAACTATAAAAAAATGAAAAGAAATAGGATCTGTGTTTTCATCAGATTGTTGTAAACTGTGAATTTCGATTCCAAGAACAACACCCCCATTTTTATGTTTTTCATCCTTATTCCAAATAAAATCCATATTTGCAATATGTTAAACAATGTCTAAATAAACAAAGTTAACTGTACAATTTGTCCTTACGTATAACCAAGGCATGGTCAAATGTAAAAATAGAAACAAGCGTAATCAACTCACCATAATGGCTGTATCCGTTGGAGATGCAGAGAGAAGTATGGAAGCATCAGGGTGCCATGATAAACTAGTAACAGGGCTATGACCACTCTGATTTAACACCTGTACACAACTAGCAGACGGTCTGAAAAAAAACAAACAAGTAAAATGAAATGAAATGGGGTTCAATGTCCTACTGTTCTGCTTTGAACTGGGCTAATGAAGACGGGCATATGCCATACAGTGTGCTATGAGGGAAAATTTGCCCAGATAGCGGCACTACGGCCTACTCTTATATCGAATTCCAACTGTCAAGGGATCTTTTACGTGCCCTCTGTCCTGCATCACTGACATGGGGGAACCACGCCAGATAATCTGAATGAAATCTATTGGCCAATGCAGGGATCGAACACCCTACCTCCAGGCTAGCGAGCCAGCATCTTACCCACCGTGACCCCCACAAACACAAGTAACACACCACAACATTTGATTCAATGACAGAGCTTATGATCTATAGCATATGTTATACCACTCTGCAACCAGAAGAAAGATAGGTTGCCAGGCAACAAAACATACGCCCACAGCAGCTTAATCGTCCGGGCGGTCGACAAGAGTTGTCGTATATTTATTCTTTTGTAGGTAATTAGGGGGCATTTAATAGACAATTTCATACAGATCACAGATGACATTATAATTTTCGTCGTTTGAGGGTTCACAAGGTTCTAAAAACTAAAAAACAAGGGCTGGAAGTAATCACAGAAATTGTTGAAATTCGACAGGCTTTTTTGTTTTACTAATTCAAATAATGCATATCAATTTCATACAGATCGGATGATAACTTTTGTCGTTCGAACGTTCACAAGGTTCAACAAAGTAAAACAAGGGTCATAACTCTAGAAGTAATGGACATAAATTTCTGACATTCAACAGGCTTCTTCATTTCACTAATTTAAATGATGCATATGAATTTCATACAGATTGGGTGATAACTTTTGTTGTTCAAGCGTTCACAAGATTCAACAATGTGAAACAAGGGCCATAACTCTAGATGTAATTAACAGAAATTTGCTGAAACTCAATAGGCTTGTTCGTTTTACTAATTTAAACGATACCTATAAATTTCATACAGATCGGGTAATAACTTTTGTCGTTACAAGGTACAACAAAGTGAAACAAGGGCCATAACTCACAGTGTAATTAACGGAAATGGCTGAAATTGAATATGCATCTTCGTTGCACTAATTTAAATGATGCATATCAATTTCAAACAGATCGGATGATAACTGTTGTCATTAGAGGGTTCACAAGATTCATCAAAGTGAAACAAGGGCCATAACTCTAGACGTAATTAACGGAAATTGCTGAAATTCAATAAACTTCTTTGTATTACTAACCTTAATGATGCATATAAATTTCATACAGATCGGATAATAACTTTTGTCTTTAGAGCTTCACAAGGTTCAAAAAAGTGAAAAAAGGGCCATAACTCACGGTGTAATTAACGGAAATAGCTGAAATTGAATAGGCATCTTTGTTGCACTAATCTAAATGATGCGTATCAATTTCAAACAGATCAGATGATAACTGTTGTCATTAGAGCGTTCACAAGATTCAACAAAGTGAAACAAGGGCCATAACTCTATATGTAATTAACGGAAATTGCTGAAATTCAATAAGCTTCTTTGTTTTACTAATCTAAATGATGCATATAAATTTCATACAGATCGGATAATAACTTTTATCGTTAGAGCATTCACAAGGTACAACAAAGTGAAACAAGGGCCATAACTCACAGTGTAATTAACGGATATTGCTGAAATTCAATAGGCTTCTTCATTTCACTAAATTAAATGATGCATATCAATTTCAAACAGATCGGATGATAACTGTTGTCATTAGAGCGTTCACAAAATTCAACAAAGTGAACAAGGGCCATAACTCTAGATGTAATTAACGGAAATTGCTGAAATTCAATAAGCTTTGTTGTTTTACTAATCTAAATGATGCATATAAATTTCATACAGATCGGAAAATAACTTTTGTCATTAGAGCATTCACAAGGTACAACAAAGTGAAACAAGGGCCATAACTTGCGGCGTAATTAACGGAAATTGCTGAAATTCAATAGGATTCTTTGTTTTACTAATTTAAATGATGCATATAAATTTCATACAGATTGGTTGATAACTTTTGTCGTTCACAAGGTGCAACAAAGTGAAACAAGGGCCATAACTCCAGAAGAAAATAACGGAAATTGCTGAAATTAACTAGGCTTCTTCATCTCACTAATGCAAACAAAGTATATCAATTTCCAAACAATCAGATGATAAATGTAGTCTGTAGTGTTCACAAGAAATTGTGGACGACGGACGGACGGCAATATACGACCACATTTCCATGTGGGCGTATAAAAAAGAATTACCTGGCAGCTAATGATGTTGGGTCTATATGCCATATAAGCACACACGTCTGACATGCCACAGCTAACACAGATGCTGATAAAGGCCTGAAACACAAAAGATCAACAAATTTATCAAGATTGAGTCAACATGTGGATGTTTCTAAACCAAGTAGGTCTGGTTTTCAATCTTCCCTCATCCTTTATAACCAAATAAATATATAGGTTGCCCACTCAATGACACTGTTATATCTTTTGAGAAGTTGAATAAAGAGTTGAGTTGTCGTACATGAGAGAGAGAGAGAGAGAGAAATGGGGTTTAACATCCATTCAACACAAAGTAGGTCAAATAGGGACCAACATATTGTTCAATTTTATTTCAATAACCTGCTTGCGTGTTGGGATGTTATACAGTGGGAAAAAACTGTAGGATCGGAGAAAACATTCCGAGTTGGTCAGGCGACCCTACTCCTTGTCACGTACAAGCGGGGAATCGAAACCACGCCACTTGGTTCAATGATCAAAAGCGACGCATAAACCATTCGCCCCAAATCTTTTTGTCAATAACATCTGACAAAACTCAATATATTAGGTTTTGTCTTTAATATAGAAATACAAATATTTGTACCATTACAAAATTAAACCATCCGTGTGGTAAAGAAAATATTTACTTGTGTGATGAATAAATAACAGAGAAATTAGTATTAATATCTTTAGATGACAGAGTCAACTACATAATGCTTATGTATTGCGAATTAGGTTTAAGCTGAAAAGATGTTGAAAGACGTTTGCTTAAAGAAAGTGCAGACACAGTTGTAACCTTGCCAGATTAAAATGTTTGACTTACTGCCAGCTGATATCTGCTACATATTTCTGTAGTTTGTGTTTGAGGACCGGTACAAGGGTATTCCCCATCGAGTGAACTTTAATAGAATCATCGTGTAAAGCATAGGCAAACTTTGTGACATGGGGATGCCACGCAAACGCTCGGATAGGACTATGGGACCTGAAATAAAAGGCTTTTATAAATATATAGATGTTGACTTAATTTGGGGACTAGAAACAAGAGTTTCAATTAGGAAATAACTCATTAGTTCGGAAGCATCAGCAAAATTGAAATACTGTGTCATTAATCAAAACACGGAATTGAAGTGAAGATTGTTTATATTTAGCATCTAACCAGGGGCGTATCCAAGAATTTTTGCAGGAGGGGTTTGCAGTGTTCCTGTTATGGAAATTTCACAGTTGACAATGCATGATGCCATCACTGATCATCTCCAAATTACGTAGGCATACATACACACTGAGGTTCTTAAAGAGAGGAATCCAACACCCTGTTTGATGTCAATTTTTACTATGAATTAATAGGATCCTATTGCGATTCAATTTCATTGATGCAAAGCATTAATTGTGATATCATATAAGTCTATATCATTATCTTGCGCTATGAATGCCTGTCCCATCCCACCAATTGATGATAAAGGATAAAGCACACGACCATGAAACTCTTCTCATAAAAGTGATGTTTTACAATTTGTTTTATGTAGCCATCCCTGCTTACTTCTCTTTGGCCTGTGGAATATTTTCTTTAACTAATGGACTAATAATTTAACCCAAAACTTGACATACTGTGTCATGAATCAAAACACAATGTCTGTAAATGTATTTAACATCAAAAGTAAAGTAGCTAAATTTCTAACTCAATATCATCCATAATATTCAAAATTAAAAACACAAATTATAATGCAATATTGGTCCAATTCAATCAATATTGATGTTGGCGTCTTGCCGTGAAAATATGGGATTGTAATATCCAACATTTAAAGGAAAATATCAGTGTCAGCCATTATCACATATGTGATAGAACTGGTTAAACACGCTCCAAATATAATTTTAACACGGAGATCATTACTATGATAGATGTGTAATGAAGAGTTGATTCGAAATTACAATATATTTTAAAGAATGAATATAAAACACTTTATATACACTCAAATTACATGAATGTGGGTTTTTAGATCCCCTTTTGTCTATTCTAAGCTTTTAAAATAAAAACTAAAGTCTGAAAAAATAAACCGGATTGTTAATCTATGGGCGTGGGGGGGGGGGGGGACACACATTTTCAAGTCATCTGCTCTTGATGATTGTGCTATTTTTATCGACTAATGCCATAAATCGTTAATTGCAAAGGAAGTTGGCAAAGGGAATTAACTCTCATCAGACAAGGTTAGGAGTCAAAATTATTCTAAATGCTTATCTATTAACAATAAATTAGATAATATTATATTAATGAAGACCGGACATTTTTATATACATGCAGGGTCAAGAAATTTTTTTGAGAATCGTTCGTTTGTTTCCGGAGTTTTACGTCCACGTAGACAAGTTATTGTGAATCAAATTGCCAAGTATAAGTTCAATAATAATAATCATAACAGAATGAATTATTTGAGACAAAAAACGAATAGTAAGAATAATAAAAAAAAGTCAAACATACAGATGTTATACATATTTGAAATCAAATATACATTATTTACATAAATCATTCAGTAAATGGACATGAATATGGTTATCTACCATCCATTATAAAATCGATGGTGAAATGACTGGTTTATAAACTGGTTTTTGATTGGTTCGAAGACTTGAGCTACAATCAAGGCCAGGGCAGATAATCATGGAAACTCTATGGATTAACCCAGGGTACAGTGGAGTAGAGCGGAATGAGTACACTTGGGATACTTCTCTCCCTAAAACACAGGTTGGAAAATTTACAGACAGGAGAATTTATCTACCATTCAAATCAAACCCATAAAATTAGGCATTTCAAAAAATCAATTAAAGCTTAACTAAATTCATAGTTATGATATTAATAGGACTTACCAATCTGATATTGTTGTAAATTTGGTTATCAAGTCCTCGTTTGACAGCTGTAATGAAGAAGAAATCTGATCTATAAGGTATATACAGCAACAAGCGTTAATAACATAATACAGAGCTAAATTAGCCACACATCGAGCGTGTTGCATCATCTTTTAAACTGACCTCAAAATCTGACACATATGCAATGACACCAGTTGAAAATGGATGAGCGAATTGGTGTTTACACTCCATACAATATATGGGTTTAGACATCTAGAATATACAAAGGCCATTTAAGCATGGAATCACAGGCCTGGTATTTGTTTATCCCAGGTGTATTTAATTCTGTATTTCTAGGTTAAGTGGCCTATTAAATTGTAATACCAGTGGCTGCCAGGCAGGATTCGCCCACATTTTGCAAGAGATGGATAGAGCACACGCTAAAAACAAATGGGATTTTTTGTACAATCAGGGGCCATAATCGAGAAAGTTATGGTCTGAAATGCACAAATATCAAAAGGGACTGAGATCTTTGGGATATAAAGATATGTTTTAAGTTTCATCAGAATCGGATAAAAATTGTGACCCCTAGAGGGTCGACAACCTTCGTATTGCATACTTTTACACAATTTGCGTATAAAGTGTGGCCATTTTGTTGGGCAGTTTCATTTCGATTTTCCCGAAATTTGAATTCAACCTTTATTATGATGGAATGGTGAAATATTTAAATGGTTTTTAAAATTGAAAAAAAAATAGTGACCTCTAGAGAATCCGCAAGCTAAAAATGCCATTTTTCGAACAATCAGGGCCATAATCCAGGAAGTTTAGTTCGGGTATCCGTGATTATCAAAAGGATCCAAGATCTTAGTGTGTAATGGTGACATATTCACACATTTTTTTTTAAATCAGATAAAAATTGTGACCTCTACAGGGATATACAAGCTAAAATCATGATTTTTTGTTGAATCAAGGGGCATAATTCAGGAAGTTACGATCATCGAAAGGAACCAAGATGTTTGGGTTATAAACTTACATTTCAAGTTTCATCAAAATCAGAAGAAAATTGTGACCTCTAGAGGCTCCACAACATTGATCTACCATATTTATACGCTAATTGTGTACGAAGGGCGGCCATTTTGTCCGGCAGTTTTGGTCCCATTTTCATGAAATTCGAACTCAACCATCCTTAGGGTGTAACAGTGATATACTAAAACGTTTTTTTAAATCGGATAAAAATTATGACCTGTATAGGGTCCACAAGCTAAAAATGCGATTTTTCGTACAATCAGAGGCCATAATTCAGGAAGTTATGGTCCGACATGTGCGAATATTGAAAGGAACCAATTCTTTGGATTATAAACTTACATTTCAAGTTTCAACAGTTTTGGGCCGATTTTCATGAAATTCAAACTCAACCATCCTTAGGGTGTAACGGTGATATATTAAAACGTTTTTTTAAATCGGATAAAAATTATGACAAAAAGCCCTATAAATTATATAAGTTTATGATTTTTAAACCATACTGATAAATGATATCAAGTTAAATATGGATTACATAGGAGCTATTACAGGTTGTCTTTCTGATGTCAAATATGGTATAAATTATTTTTTAGGCAGCAATTCACCTGACAAGCCCGAAATCAACTCTCTAAACCATCAGATGGTAAAGATTTAAATGGATTTAAACATCTATGAGGTTAAAAAATGGATAATCAAGGCTTAGTCTTGATTGTCAAGTAGGCCTACAACAATATATGCTACATCTTCAAAAATTCATAACTTCGATCAGAATAAAGTAATTTGAACAAAATTTTCAATATATTCATTTTGCATTATCTATTTTTATACTATTATCCCTGTTTTTAAAACTTACTGATAAATGAGGAAAGAGGGATCCATTAAGAGACGTAGCCCAGCGTAACAAAGTTAAACAACTTGTTGATGTAGAAGCTATAATGCTTGGTACTGAAATATAAAAACTTGATGTAGTAGCTAATATACTTTGTACTGAAATATACTCCACCCCTCCCAACCTCTAGACAATTATCTATATACACAAGCTAGTTAGCTATGCACCACCTAGATAATATCTTAGTTACAATATGCACCACCTAGATAATATCTTAGTTACAATATACACAACCTAGATTATATCTTAGTTACAATATACACAACCTAGATAATATCTAAATTACAATATACACAAACCAGATAACATCTAAGTTACAAAATACACAACCTAGATAATATCTTAGTTATAATATACACAACCTAGATAATATCTAAGTTACAATATGCACCACCTAGATAATATCTTAGTTACAAAATACACAACCTAGATAATATCTAAGTTACAATATACACAACCTAGATAACATCTAAGTTACAAAATACACAACCTAGATAATATCTTAGTTACAAAATACACAACCTAGATAATATCTTAGTTACAATATACACAACCTAGATAACATCTAAGTTACACATTACACATCCTAGATAATATCTAAGTTACAAAATACACAACCTAGATAATATCTAAGTTACAATATACACAACCCAGATAACATCTAATCTACAATATACACAACCTAGATAACATCTAATTTACAATATACAGAACCTAGATAATATCTAAGTTACAAAATACACAACCTAGATAATATCTTAGTTACAAAATACACAACCTAGATAATATCTAAGTTACAAAATACACAACCTAGATAATTTCTTAGAAACAATATACACAACCTAGATAATATATAAGTTAAAAATATAACCTACCGTCATCTTTACTGTTGACCAGTTCTTCAAAACTTCCTGTAAATCCATGCTCATACCTAATAAATTATACACAATTTTACATATTTTATATTCCAAGTAAAAATAATTATTTTATAAGTAATTTTTATGTATTTCAGGGTTCTCAGCTCATAGGTAGCCTCATAGTCTCATTTGATATCACAACAAGCAGTTGCAATATACACCCATATTTTGAAAGAGATTTTTATATAATCCAGGAGGTTACGGTTCAATATGCGCCAATATCAAAAGGAGCAAAGATGTCTGGGATATAAACATAATATTTTAAGTTTCACCACAATTGGATAAAAATTGTGACTGCTAGAATGATCCACAACATTCGTATTACATAATTTTACACTATTTGCCGCAATTTGCATACTGAGAGCCACCATTTTGTCTGTCAGTTTCAGCCCAATTTTCACAAAATTCAAAGTCAACAGTCATTATGGTTATATATTTGAACGGTTTTAAAAATTGGATAAAAATTGTGACCACTACATGGTACACAACCTAAAAATGCAATTTTTTGTACCATCAACTACCATAATCCATTTTGTTATAGGCTGGTATGTGGCAATAACAAAAGAAACCGAGATCTGTTGGTTATCAACATACGTTATAAGTTTCATCAAAATTGGATAAAAATTATGACCTTTAGAGTGTCCACAAGCTAAAAATTTGTTTGTTTTCACAATCAGGGGCAATAATCCATGAAGTTACGGTCCGATATCATAAGGAATCAAGATCTTAGGGATATCAACCTATATTTCAAGATTTGTTACAAGTCAGATAAAATTGTGACCTGTAGAGTGTACCTACAAAATGTGAATAGATGGACAGACAGGGATGACAACAATATACATCCACATAAACAGAAGTAGTGATGGATGGCGGCGATGGCAAAATACGACCACAATTCACCTTCCATGTATTCAATAAAACCATAGAAATTGTGCTAGCCTGGAGGTTGGGTGTTCGATCCCTGCATTGGCCGAGAAAGTTCATCCCGATTTTCCGACGTGGTTTCCCCTTGTCAGTGGTGCAGAACGGAGGGCCTGACAAGGACAGCTGTCTAGTCCTTCGGATGAGACGAAAAACTGAGGTCCCGTATATATATTGGAATACACGTAAAAGATCCCCTAGCAGTTGGAATTCGATAGAAGAGTAGGCGATGGTGCTGCTGCCCGGGCAAAATTTCCCTCGTAGCACACTGTATGGCGTATGTCCGTCTTCATTAGCCCAGTATAGGAGCAGAACAGTAGGACGTTAAACCCCATTTCATTTCACTTCGTAGAAATTGTAATAATGGGTCAACCTTGCTTCTGAATCCTGAAGGTGGGTGATTTTAATATCGATCTGTTCCATATTATACAGCAAAATTAATATCAATCCAATATTTCACTAACAAACCAAATATAACTCACCAAGCATTCAGAGCTCTCTTCCACACAGTTTCATCATGAGGCAAAAATGCTGACTTGGCACTTTCTCTTGGAACAGAATTTCTGCTATTTTCTGGTAAAACAGTAACTTGGGGATAACCTGAACACTAAGAAAGAAAAAAAAAACCGATTTACTTGGCACAGTTTTCAATCCTCTTGATGCCTAAATCATAACATTGGTGAAAAGGGCCAGTTATCTGCCGGTAGTCTTACGTTTGATCAGCACATCGCTATCCGTAAGGTCATCAGGGTTCACACCGGTTTTAAAAAAACATGTATGATTAGAGAGAGAGAGAGAGATGGGGTTTAACGTCCACTCAACACAAGGTCATTTCGAGACTAATATATGGTTCAATCTTATTCATTAAATCGCTCTGGCATGGTTCGCCCTTGTCAGTGATGCAGGACGGAGGGCAGCTGTCTAGTCACACATGAAAGATCCCTTGACAGTTGGAATTCATTATAAGAGTAGGCCGTAGTGCCACTGTCCGGGCAAAATTTCACTCATTTCAATATTACCAGTAATATATCAATATTACCAGTGATACATCAATATTACCAGTAATATATCAATATGTCTATCAGTAATATATCAATATTACCAGTAATATATCAATATTACCAGTAATATATCAATACTACCAGTAATATATTAACATTACCAGTAATAAATAAATATTACCAGTAATAAATAATTACTAGATCTGCTACTGTCCCATGCAGATATGAAAGCTTTCATATTCATCGTCATGTGACATGGATTATATCAACTATCTTAAAAGAAAAAAGAACAACAAAAACTAATTATCAAAATCAGTGAAAAAGTCGCGAAGTTACAAGTCTAAATATAGTGAGGAACATGGCATCCGGGAAACAAAATAATCTGGAAACTAAAGGGAAATAACTGAGACTTGGATAGCTGTAATCGGTTGACCAAAATCAAAATTCTGTTCTGACGTTTTTTGGCATTCCTTCAAGGATTCAGAAAATGTAACTCCCATGTCAGTAAGTATAATATTGCGAAATTTTTCTCCTTTTAATATATGATAAATATTATCGCGGCACAGCCAACCGCTGGAAATTTCAGAGATTTTGACCACCGGAAAGATGCCTCAGCAGTCAAAAAAAGTCAAAATAGACGATTTCGGTTTTTAGTGTTGCGGTCATTTTAAAAAATTGTCTTGTAATGATAATGTGTATAGTACTAACACCTATCACATACGGAAGAGGCGATAAGACCGTTTACATTTGCAATGTCAAAATTAATTAAAACAAAATTTAAATTCCGAAAAGCGTTTTTTTTGGTAAAACTCTTTTTTATTTAAATCGGATCAAAATGGGAGTAAAGCACAGAGTCCAGGGTGGTAATGGGCGTACTGTGTCCAAATTTCATGGTTTTCGGACAATCGGTGCCGGTGTCGTAGCAAAATTTCAATTTTTCCCTCCTTACAGAATCCGTAAATTGACGAACGGCAGGAACCGTGTCAAGTATAAACGACATGAACGAATGCATGTATCGCCTTGAAATTTTCAGGGCACCTAGGTACCAACGTGAAAAGTTCCTAGCCGGAATTTGGTAGTCATGGTACCTTTGGTTCCAGCTTTGCGCATGGGCGAAGTCAAAAGCAGCTAAATATGTTGTTATGAAGGTTTTTTTTTACAAAATGGACCTATCTCTTTGAAACTTCGGCTACCCCCCCATTTCCGACCTCTGCGCATCCAAAAATTGTCTCCAAATTAAAATCGAACACCTAGTTCCATCTCTATTTTTTTGTTTTACTTTATGTACCGCCGGGAAAATGGCCACTGCTCGCCCCACATGGGTCGGGCCCTAAAATTTCTTGTTTGGAATTGTGCTTGGGACGATAAGCCAGATACCCGGTGAGTTTCAAGTTGATGTGCACGATAGTAGGGTTGTGATGCGGATGCGCGGGCCCACACTCAAAAACAACCTTGTCGGCACGGAAAACATCAAAGGCGAAATTCGAATTTTTGAAATATTCAAATACCAAACAATCGACCATGAGCCAGGCTATCCTGAAATGTATTCATTTCGGTAATATGAGACGTATTGAACATACTATGCCCTATTGTGTTTGTTTAGAAGACCGTAAATGTCGATTTTTCGCTATTTTTCATATTCACTTCAAAATGGCTGTCATCAGTTGACCTAAATCAAAATTGTGCTCTGAACATTTTTTAGGCATTCAGGGATTCAGAAAATATAACTCCCATGTCTGTAAGTGCAATATCGCAAAAGCCTTAGGGACTTTTCACGTTTCAAGATGATGGCATTTCCAGTTCGATCGACAAACTCCATATTTTGTGTATGAATCAGTAATTACTTGTCTAGTATCGGAAAAAAAAATTAGGTCATTCTGACCTATATTTCGATGATTCTTTTTAAAATTTTGATCCTTAATTTTATTAAGGGGAGATAATTTAACAAATTTTAAGGCGCATCGGTAAGATCTACTTACATGCTAAATTTCATGAAAATCGTACAACTATGAAAGAAGTTGTCAAATTGGTCATAAATACCGGTTCGAAATCACAGCGGCGAATTTTCGAAATTCGAAAATCTGAAACTGCAGATTTGAAGTAATTGTCTCAAGGTACTCAAAGAAAAAAGATTTAGTAAAATAGGTCAAATAGTCACAAACGTGAAATAGTCAGAAACAATAAGCTTTCATATGAAATATGAAAGCTTAATTACCAGTAATAAATAAATATTACCAGTAATAAATAAATATTACCAGTAATAAATAAATATTACCAGTAATAAACAAGCCAACAGTGAGGTAGATGTCCCCCACCAAAATCCCAAAATAAATAGATGACACATATTAATTTATCGCAAATTTATTTTTTTCAAAAGTATCAAGCAATCAACCAGATTATCAACAATACACTAAGTTTCATCACTTTCTATCAGATAGAATTAAAGTTATCTTGTCCTAAAGCATCGACCAATGAAATTGCTTAGCTCTGCTCAGCTTTATCTCGAAAGGTGAAGACATTCACCTACATCTACATCAAATTTAAACATTCTACCTCAATTAAAAGCAGAGTTGTTATGTTCAAAAGTCTTGACCAATCAAATTGCTTATCGTTCCTTAGCCTAAGCAGAAAATTCTCATCATCGAAATTTGTCAAGGTAATTATATATAATATAATGAATCTATACGCGGAGTTTCATCACTCTCACATAATTAAAACTAAAGCTATTGGCCCCAAAGCATCAACCAATCAGATTGCTTATCTCTGCTTACCATAAGCAGACAATGTTTATCATCAAACTAGATCAAGGCATTCACCTAATGAACGCCTACACCAAGTTTGAACATCCTACCTCAATTAGAAGGAGAGTTGTTCTGTCCCAAAAAGTGTGACAGACAGACAGACAGACGAAGGGACGGACGGACGGACGGACAAACAAACGGATGAACCTATTTTAATAGTCCCCTGATTTCTTCGAAAGACGAGGGACAATAAATATTACCAGTGATATATTTATATAAAGAGGTAATATACTAAACAGCAAAAAAACGTCAGTATGATTTCAAAATCAGAGAGGCACTTTAATCAAATCATTCTAGAAAACGACTTACTAAATGGTTCAAAGCAATTTTTTGTGAAAATTAGTGATTAATTCATCACAATTCCAAGACATTACGTGAAGGTTTAGAGTCTGTACACAGTCTATACATCAGTATCTGGTGTGTGCACCGCGAGTGTCAATAACAGCAGCGCAGCATCTGTACATGGGGTGGACCAGACGATTGATGGACGCCATTGGCACCTGGAACCCCGCAATCCATCGGCTGTGTTTGGTCTCAGTACGATGTTATTAAGTCTCCTCTGAATTTCATCCAAAAGATGTTCAATCGGATTTAAGTACGGACTAAGGGCTGGCCAGTGCATAACGTTGACACCGTTCTGTTGTAGAAAGTCCCGAGTAACTCTGGCCGCCTCCACTCCAAACCATTAAGCTTGGACCTCCCCACGAGTCTCGTTCCATGACACATTGGTCAGAATAACGCTAGCCACATTGACACCATATTCTGGTCCTGCCATATCTGCAGTTGATACGCAATACCGACTCTCATCTGTGAAAAGAACAGTACTCCACTGCCTGTGTCGCCAGTTCTGGTGTTGTTGGGCAAACTGTACACGTTCACATCGATGGCAAGGGGTGAGGATCAGTCCACGGTAAGGTCTACGGCAACGGATGTTCTCTCTGGTGAGACATCTGCGCGCTGTATTGGTACTTATGGGTATTCCGTGTGTTCCCACTGACACTGTCTGACGTGCTGTCTCAGATGCCTGTGTAAAGGGATTCAGCATGTTCTGTCTACCAGTTCGGGGGCGATCATCCGTAGTGTTGGTGGCTCGAAAGTGTTGCTGAAGCCTGTAGATGGTCCAAACATTGACCTGGAAGTGACTGGCAATAGCTTGGGCAGTGTGACCAGCATTGAGTCTCAGAGCTGTCGTGAGTCGTGGCATGCTGCAGACGTAATGAATGATTCAACCAGGTATGGGAGTGCATTTTATAGAGCTGGTCCCTGTGAACAGCACGTGCAGATTGAGTTACATGAAAATCATGGAGAACACATTACCATCTCAGAAGTCAGGTTGCATTTTTGAGAAAAACATTTCCTGGGTTCAATTCTGTGTTTGGGAAAGAGCCTTATTGCTCAGGTAAAGTTGGAGATGTGGTCACAAATATACAATAAAAACATTTGGCAAGTTTTATGCAAAGCGTCTATTCAGAATAACATACCAACATGGCATTTCTTTTGCTGCTTAGTATATATCAATTTAACCAGTAATAAATTGTGAAGCCTACCAGAACTTGTAAACTGTCTTGAACATGAGCTGAGCCAACAGTTGTCAGATCACCATTTGTTTCAGCTACTGTTACTTGACCGATTTCTGGGGGAGGCGGAAATCCTTTCATTTTAAACAGTAACTGCTGCAACATTAAAAACATTCTCACGATATAAATGCAAAAAAAAAATTTCCCAGCACCATGAAAATGTTTTAAAGTAAACTGCTATTATAATTTCTACCTATATATATTTGTTGCTATGGCCTGGATGCTTGTTTGGGATTGAGGTAGACATTTGAGGCATAAATAAAGCTGGAGACAAGAAGACTACTATCAGAGTTATACTATTTCTGGTTCTAAGGAGCTGGGTTTACCCAAGCAACCCCGGGTTCACCAGTAGTGTTAGATAGATGTTTGCTGAGAAAGTTCATTAGGATTTTCCACCCTAGTTCACCGTCAGTGGTGCAGGATGGATTTTCTGGCAAGGGACAACTCGTAATCGTTTGACTTCAAATGGGACGAAAAACTGAGGTCCTGTGTACACATTGACGAGCACCTGAAATACCTTTGACAGATGGATTTAAAAATAAGAGTGGGCTGTACCTATAGCACCGCTGTCGAGGCGTAAACATTGCATAAATGCATGTACATGCACCCGCCATCTCTTGTATTAGGCTGACCTTAAAAATATCTTTGTTTCGCCTAACGTGCCCGACTTAAATTATTTTATTGCACTTTTCCACGATATTTTTATTTTATTTTGTGTGTCAACCTGAAATATATCATGAGAGTTATTTCCCTTTACTATGGCTATGGTTTGATTCATTATTGAAACTGGTTGATCAAGACGAAAGTGTCATAGGTGTCGCTTCTCAACAAAATGTTTGCAGACGAATACACGTCCATTCCCACGAAATGATTCTGCCTCTATGTCTGTGGTGCGTAGTTTTAAACATGACGACGATATTTTCAATATCCGTTTTCGAGAAAAATGAAGGCACAACCCGCACTATCGTTAAAAACGTGTTGAAGGAGTTTCACACTTCAAGTTTGTGGCAAATCGTGTGCGAGTCGGGCATCACGAAAAATCCCGATGTCATTGATTTGTTTGCCAATAAAGAAGACGAATGTTTAATAAGTTTAATAAAAACTTTCAGTTCGTTACTTTTTACGTCAGACCCCAAATTCATTAAACAAAATTAAGGAATCTGTAGTATACAGCTAATAAGTTTTCTGTATTGATTTCTCTGACTTTAAAAAAAAATCTGAAAAAAAAAACCGACCTTTCTCCTCGATTGTGGGTCGGGTTTGGTGAAACAAAGATATTTTTAAGGTCAGCCTTATTTAAGGGTTGATTGGCAAGAACATCACTATAGGCCTACTGATCATGTGGTCTATATAGAGCTGCATTCTGGGTAAAATTTCCCTCATAGTACATTTATACATACATGGCAGTGACTATTGTTACGACGAGTCGTAAAGATAGGTTGCCAGGCAACGAAACATACGTCAACAGCAGCTAAATCGTCCGAGCGGTCGACAAGGGTTGTCGCATATTTATTCCTTTGTATGTAATTGGGGGCCTTTACAAGACAATTCCATACAGATCAGATTATAAATTTTGTCGTTTGAGGGTTTACAAGGATCTACAAAATGAAACAATGTTCTCAACTCTGGGAGTAATCTACAGAAATTGTTGAAATTTGACAGGCTTTTTCGTTTTACTAATTTAAATAATGCATATAAATTTCATACAGATCACATGATCACTTTTGTCACTTAAACGTTCACAAGGTTCACAATCGCCATAACTCTAGAAATTATTGACGGAAATTGCTGAAATTCATTAGACCTCTGTTTCACAAATTTAAATGATGCATATAAATTTCATACATATCGGATGATAACTTTCATCAATCGAGCATTAACAAGGTTTAACGAAGTGAAAAAAGGGCCATAACTCTAGAAGTAATTATTGTAAATTGCTGAAATTCAATAGACTTCATGGTTTCACTAATTTAAATAATGCATATAAATTTCACAAAGATCCAATGATAACTTTCGGCGTTGGAACGTTCACAAGGTTCAATAAAGTGGAAAGAGCCATAATTCTAGACGTAATACATGTAAATTGCTGAAATCCTATAGGATCAATTGTTCTTTTTACTAACTTAAATGGCACATATAAATTTCATACAGATCAGCAGTTAACTTTACAGGTTAGAGCGTTCACAAAGTGCAACAAAGTGAAACAAGGGCCATAACTCAATATTTAAGTTAGTGAAAGGAAGAAACCTATTGAATTTCAGCAATTTCTGTTTATTACGTCTAGAGTTATGGCTCTCGTTTCACTTTGTTGCACCATGGGAACGCTCTAACGCTCTGCCGATCTGTATGAAAAACAGAAATTGTTGAAATTCAATAGGATTCTTCTTTTGACTACTCTGAGATATTATTAAATTAATTATAACCTGCAAGTTTCATGGAAATCGGTTGATAATTGCCGTCTGAGGCGTGCCACATGAAATGTGTGGTAACCTGATATCTCGGAAACCGCTAACCGGAAGTAGTCGAAATTTTGGCTACTCTGAGATATTATTAATGTAATTATAATCTGCAAGTTTCATGGACATCGGTTGATAATTGTGGTCTGTAGCCGTGCCACATGAAATGTGTGGTAACCTGATATCTCGAAAACCGCTAACCGGAAGTAGTCGATATTTTGGCTACTCTGAGATATTATTAAATTAATTATAATCTGCAAGTTTCATGGAAATCGGTTGATAATTGTGGTCTGTAGCCGTGCCACATGAAATGTGTGGTAACCTGATATCACAGAAACCGCTAACCGGAAGTAGTCGAAATTTTGCCTACTCTGAGATATTATTAATGGTATCATATTCTGTAAGTTTCATGGGAATCGGTTGATAATTGTGGTCTGTAGCCGTGCCACATGAAATGTGTGGTAACCTGATATCTCGGAGACCGCTAACCGGAAGTGGCCGAAATTTTGCCTACTCTGAGATATTATTAATGTAATTATAATCTGCAAGTGTCATGGAAATCGGTTGATAATTGTGGTCTGTAGCCGTGCCACATCAAATGTGTGGTAACCTGATATCTCGGAAACCGCTAACTGGAAGTAGCCGAAATTTTGGCTACTCTGAGATATTATTAAAGTAATTATAATCTGCTAGTTTCATTAAAATCGGTTGATAATTGTGAAATGGGTGGTAACCTGATATTTCCGAAACCGCTAACCGGTAGTGGTCGAAATTTTACCTACGCTGAGATATTATTAATGTTATCGTTATCTGTAAGTTTCAATGAAATCGGTTGATAATTGCGGTATGGAGACTTGCCACATGTGGCAAATAGTCTCCGGATTGTCTTACCACATGTGGCAAATAGCCCCAGCCAATTGTAACTTTAAATATAAACTGATGACTGATGTCCAAGAAAGGATACACACTAAAAGCAAAATAAAATTGTGAAACAAATTGACATTCTACCCAAATACTGTATACCATGGATACGACTTTGGTTGATGCTGCAGCACAAAATGCACAGTGTATACTTTCTTGGACATTAGTTTAGAAATTTTCTGAATATATCAATTCCAAAATCATTTGGCCCTACTTTGGGTTTAGCTTTTTTTTAAAGACGAATAGAATGCGCCCTTATCTTATATAGACCTTAGGCTTAGGGATATAATCTATCGTCAATTTTATGTATTGTATTCTAAGAATAAAAAATTAAAAGGAACATAAACCGATCCAATTTACATTAAAGGTTCTGATCAATCTTGCAGGGTATGAATAAATAAAGCACAATTTCTCCAATCTCAAATTCTCCCGGGTTTTATTTGGTCGTTAGGTGGCGCACTTTTAGATTTAGAGAGCAAACGCGGATCTTGGATTTTAGACAGAATTAACGACAAATATAAACGGACGCCCATTATTGCATAAATTACTCTGATAACACGATTTTCTTGCGACGAGAATAACTGATTCGCTAATAACGATTTTTGCATTGCATTTCAACGCCCCATCATTTGGTGTTACTACTTTCGTTTCAATTTCATCAATTTCATAAAATGTAAAGTTATATAAATTTATTTCTCAGAATACTTTTCTGTACTATTTTTGGACGCAATGATGACTTTGGTTCTGCAGATATAAATTCCTTTGCTCCTTGCAGAATGTATTGTGTTTGTGCGCTGGCATTTGGGTTTTCACGCACAGTGAGCAAAAGCAAGAGAATTGTAACATCCGGCCTTCGAAGAACCGAACATTCCCGAGTTGATAATTGAGGAGGGGCTGCACGTATGATGTAAACAAGTCGAAAGAAGCCAGGCAAGAAATTTTGCAGACTGTAGTGAACAACATGTTAGACTTTGCGATATTTGCGGTGACATTTTTGGTGGCTTTGGTTGCAGCCATTATTTATCTCTATCCTGTAAGTATGCATAGTTTTCATAACTTCTCTGTTTATGGAGAACTGTCTGCTTGAAGAACTGCATGTATGTAGGCCTATCTTATAATTCTAATCTTTATATGATATGAATCACCGGCCCCTTTGCCTAGGTACGAGAACGTAGCAAAAAACGTTGCGATTGTCTGATGTGCTTGTTTTTAGCTACGGTTAGATCCTTTTAGTTTCACCTGGCAAACTTAATTTCTTTATTAATGCCTGTTTTAATTTCTTGCCCAAAAAAATCAAACCAATTATTTAACATGCATTATGCAAGAAGTCTAAATCTGCCTATTACAGGCCTTTCTTTAGGCCTGAAATGTTATATAATTAATTAGACATTTATTAATATGATGAAAAGACCATAATCAACCTTCGATGCCATCTTACATGTATGTGTCTGATTTTCACTGGATTTGAAATTTAATTAATTTACTCTGCCCACCTGTTATTCTAATTCACATGTATTGAGTCTATAGGCTATATTACTTATTAGACAGCCCATGCGATGGTCCTCAAGTTACATAGAATGTTGGGTACTATTTCATTATAGTGCCTGACATTTTGTCAGGTACATTTGAAACCGTTATTTCCAGCCTGATCAAATATTTGATTGAAATCTTGTCTAAATGTGCAAATGATAGACTGAGGCTGATCACCCTATGTTACGCAGCCTGAACCCCTTAAATCGTTTTATACATTAGTTTCAGGGTTTATACCTTTACTGGAACCGATACTGAGGCTCTCGGTACCGGTCTAAATACTGCCTGGTACCGGAAGGATTATACTGGGTTAAAAATAAAATGTATTTCGTATTTCATTCAGCGACCCTCTAATCTCCCTGACAGACATCTAATGTCCGGACTTCTGGATCAGAAATACATGTATGTATTTTCAGCCATGTCTCGTTCCCCGTAGTGTTTTTATAATCCTAATGGTGTGTGTCCAGCCTTTCAGTGTCTAAGTGAAATGGAAAACAATATAACCTACCAGTATACAGCTTTGAGTCAGGCTGTCTTGGGATTCCCAGGTTTAGCCTATGTTATAGACTCAAAACGAAATTGTGAATATATACAATCTCTGATAAGTATACTGTTAGATTTGATCTTATATGTCCACATGGAATTGTGGTCGTATATTGTTGTTGCCCCCGTCCGTCTATCGTCCACAATTTCTTGTGAACACGCTAAAGACTACATTTATCATCTGATTGTTTTGAAATTTATGTGTATGTTGTTTACGTTACTGATAATGTCTGTTCATTTCTTCTGGAGTTATGGCCCTTGTTTAATTTTGTTGCGCCTTGTGAACGCTTGAATGATAAAAATTATCATCCGATCTGTATGAAATTGATATGCATCAGTTAAATTAGTGAAATGAAGAATCCTATTGAATTTCAGCAATATCCATTAATTATGGCCCTTGTTTCGCTTTGTTGAACCTTGTGACTGCAATAACGACAAAAGTTATCATTCGATCCGTATGAAATTTATCTGCATCATTTAAAGCCAGAATTTCATATTTTCTGAGAAAGTCAAAACATAATTATTTCTATGTCTTTTGCTCAATAGGTTGTCAACTCACTATTATACAATCATAGTTATCATTCTCACACTTAAAAATGTTTCACACCGGAATTAATAACACTATTACCTCCTAATTACCTCCCTTGTTTTTCTATTCCCTACTATGGAAATCTTCAAACGTTTGAATTTGAAGTTGAAAATGATATTTTTGCCAATTTCTCAACTGGCAATAGTGAATTATAAGATTACCCGGTAATAGGATTATTCTTCATCAAGGTAGGACTGTTTTACATAGCATCGATTTTAAGGCTTTATTTTACTCAATATCATCCAAAACCTTCGACATTGAAAACACAAATTATTTGTCAATTGTAATCAACATTGGTGTTGTGATCTTGCCATTAAAAGATGGGCTTCTGATATCCAATATTTAAGACAAAATAAACGTACAGTTGGTACACGAATGTACCATAATGCGTTTCAACGCCATTTGCAACAAGCGACTTGAATAACGAGGTTAGACATATTCCACAAGTCATGTCAAACGGTGACCTCATATTTTTATCTGGAGAGCATGCGCAATAAATACTATTGGTGTAGACTGGAATAACCAGGCGCTAGAGATTGTCATTCGATTGAGACTCTTGGCGTATTTCGCCAAACATAACTGATTTGAAATTAGAATAAAAACGGAAACGATTGAATGTAAATCAGTTTATTTACATTCATATTACATGATCATTATACGTTGCAAACCATTTGTGTCAATTTGTAGGTCCCAAATATTAGCGATTTAGCTCCTTTAAACTTTAAGCATTTTCAATTAATTACTACTAGAGTTATGCATTATTTAAATTAGTAAAATGAAAAAGCCTGTCAAATTTCAATAATTTCTGTGCATTACTTCTAGAGTTAAGGCCCTTTTTTCAGATTGTAGAACCTTAATTGTAAACCGTCAAATGACGAAAATTATAATCTGATCTGTATGAAATTGTCTTGTAAATGCCCATCATTGTCTACAAAAGAATAAATGTTAGAACTCTTATTCACCGCCCAGACGAATTAGCTGCTGTGGGCGTATGTTTCATTGCCTGGCAGCTTATCTTAGGTTACAGAGTTCGTCAACGTTGTGTGTATTGCCAGCAATGAAAAAAAAATGTTGACTTGTTTTCATAAAGCTGTGCTGTATGGTGGAGGGATGATCTTTTGTGACTGAAGACTGACTTTGTGGCCCGATGACAAAAATTCACAAAACAGATTATCTATCATATGAAAGCAAGTGAAATTGATAATTTTATATTTCACGGCCACTCAAAAGAGATCTTGTCATTATAGAATATGTCAGATTTTATGTATATATTATAATATTATGATATACGACGCCCTGTGTTCAGTTTAATTCTATAAATAGCATATATATGTAATATTATGATATATGACTCCTAGCAGTTTAATTCTATTAATAGCATATATAAATACAGTGTACGTCTATATTAGATTTCATATATTAAAACTATGTCAATAAATCCATTACTTATTATGTGGTGTCATAAAGACAAATTATTTTTATGGTTAAATCCAATTGTAAAAGTATAATGCAAATTATATTGAACAACTATTAATATTTATTTGTGTAGCATATTGAATAACCAGCATACCTTTAATAAGTTCCGTCATGCGTGTTGAATAACTTCCAGTATGCACAGAAAGATAATTAATATTTATTTGTGTAGCATATTGAATAACCAGCATACCTTTAATAAGTTCCGTCATGCGTGTTGAATAACTTCCGGTATTGCACAGAAAGATAATGGTTTGGTGATGAAATAGATTTGATTAAATGTTTCCCACTGAATTCAATAAGAATTTGTTTACTAGCTGGTTCACTTCACTGTAGATTTAATATTTATAAAATTGAACATATTTTGATATGGAGGACTCTGATGGAGATGAAAAAATGCAAGACGATTATAGTCTTCCTACTGACATTGAGATGAATGAAGGCATGAGTATAACACATGCTTCTTCATCCATCAGACAAGATTCGTGTAGTGTATTTACTCTAAACCCACCAGTTGATACTTCAATCTTATCTAGAGTGATTCCTCAACCGCTAGAGGATGAAAATACAGTAAATGGTGCAAGGAGCAATTCAGTGCCACCATCAGAAGTTGGGGAACTAGAACGGCAAATAAGGGTTGAAAATTATATGTGCGGTCTTAGACAACAGGAGATTGATCAAATGATAGGCCAAAATGCTGATATTAAGAAGAATTTCCAGGGTACAGTATTATTAGGGGATATAGGACAAAAATTGGACACTTATTTGCCGGGTTTGTACATTGTGTCTGATGAGAATATTAGAGGACCCAATGAAACCTGGCATTGTTCATCTCTTATTGTTTTCCAACATGAAGATAAACGATTATACTATTATATTGACTCACGTGGTGAGGATCTTCCTGAACTGCATGGTAGAGCAGAATGGAATAAAAAAAAGTGGCAGCAACATCAAACGTGTGGGGTTTTTGTTTTGTTTGTTTTCGACAAGTGGACAAAGTATATAAATAATTTGGGTTCAGGAAAACCACATTTTGGATACTTTATAAATAATATATTTGAACTGGAAGATATTAGGGAGAATTTTAACTGTGACTTGTATGTGATTAATTACTGTAAGAATAATTTGTGTCCTACTGTTCCATGACAAAAATAGTGTTATGTATCATATATATTGTTTGACCTACTTATGTGCTATGTACAATATTTTATTAAAGAATATTATTAAAAGGTATTATTTTAATATACAATTTATTATTCCATTTTTGTGAGTTTAGACGCAAATTGTTGTTTGACCTATGTATATAATTACCTCCCTTTCTTTTACCAAACTTTTCCTAGAATTGATACTGAATGTATCAACTTCAGGCCAGTAGAGATAATTCCTTTGTTCTGTAAAAAAGTGTTTCATGTCGTTTTCATTATACCCATTATTTTAGGGTTTATACATATTATGTTATTAATATTATTACTCTTATTTTATATATATAAGAAGAGTTTGTATATATTTGGAACCTTGTTGGGTAAAATATTGAGACTGATAAATCGATTATTCATTTCTTGTCTGTTCGTTTAACTTATCACACGTTGAGCACGTAACAGAGTGGGAGGATTTTAACAGTGTATGAACTTACATGTACCTGTATTTACCTTTAAGTAAGTGCAATTTTGGCCATTATTAGGGTTTCACACTGCGTAGCTTGTGTGAAACACTATTGTTTTTGTTAAAATTATTATTAGGGTTTCACACTGCGAAGCTTGTGTGAAACACTATTGTTTTTGTTAAAATTATTAGGGTTTCACACTGCGTAGCTTGTGTGAAACACTATTGTTTTTGTTAAAATTATTATTAGGGTTTCACACTGCGTAGCTTGTGTGAAACACTATTGTTTTTGTTAA